CTGAGATTAAAAGTACATGCCACCACGCCCAGCTAATTTTTGTATTTTTAGTAGAGACAGGGTTTCATCATGTTGGCCAGGGTAGTCTCCAACTCCTGACCTGGTTATCCTCCCACCTCGGCCTCCCAAAGTGATGGGATTACAGGCATGAGCCACCGCACCCGGCCCATGCTTTGCTTTCTTGGCAGCTGTGTGGTTTGCTCGTCGCCCCCACTGCTGGGCCTCTGTATGGGCCCCCCACCCTTGCCCTGTGGGCCGTGGAGTTCTTAGAAGCACACGCCCTGGCCCTGGGTGGGTGCCTGTCAGCGGAAAGAGATGCACCATGGGGCTCTCTCAGCCACTGTGCCCTGAATACCTCCCCTTTCTCCAGACCCTCAGCCGGGTTCTACCCCTACTCCCAGAGCCTCCCCGGATCCAGGAGCACAGACGGAGGAGGTGCTCATGTGCCGCCAGGGGAATAAGGCTGGCATGCAGGACACAGGAAGAGCAAGCTCAGGACCCGAGAGCTCGTGAGGGCACGAAAGGAGCCTGGGCCTCAGGAGTGGGAGCTTCCTGCAGGCGATGGCCCTGCCCAGCGGCACGGACGACTCCCAGCTGCCCAGAGCATCCCCAGGGCTAAAATGGATGAAACGGATTCATCATGAACCCAAAGCTGCCCCTGACCCCCACCTCCCACTCCACCCTCTGGCATAAGCATTGGTCCCAGTGACAGAGACTGCAGAAGTCAGCCATTTCCAGTTTGAGAGGAACCTTCTAGAAAGGCAGCATCCCGCAGAAATGAACCACCACATTCCTGAGGTCAGCAAAGTTGCAGCCCCTCCCTGCACAGCTTCTGCAGGGACAGGGGAAGCATCCCAGGCCTTCATGGGGTCCCCGGCCTGTCCTGGGCCATGGCCCAGCGGCTGCAGAGGAACCCACCTGGAAACCCAGCTCCTTAGGGGAAGAAGGCACCTGGGGCAGGCTGGCAGACAGGAGAAGGGACTCAGGCCTGGGGAGCCAGGAAAGGGGTAGGGACGGAAGCTCCAGGGGGACTCAGTTCATTTTAAGTCACTCACCTGTGGCCCGGCCCCCTTCTGGAGCCCAGGATGTTTCCATCTGGGGCTTGTGAGGGGCCTTAGATCTGGCCACGTGGCCCAGGGGAAACTGACCTTTCCCCAAAGCACCTCTGCTCCTGCACAAAGGGGACTCAAAGGTGCTCACCACCATGGAACCCCACAATCCAGGCTTCACCCCAGGCGGGGGTCAGCTTCCCCATCCCTCCCCTGGCTCTGGCCTGCACAGCCACCCTGAGGAGCCAGGGAGGGAGGGAGTCAGAGGCCGCCTTGCCCTGACCTTCCAGCCCCATGCTCTGACCACAGGGCAACCGGCCCAGCCCCAGGCAGAGGGGCCACTCAGAACCAGTGGCCGCAGGCCCATCCCCCCACAGAGGGCTGGGGTCAGCAGCCCCAACTGAGCTCTGAGGACCCCCAGGTCAGGCAATCAGCCCAGTGAGGACCCCTTCCCCAGGGGGAGGGAGGAAGGTTCTCCCACCACTCCCTGCAAACCGGGAAACTCAGAGGTCCCATGGTTGGGCCTCGAAGGAAGTGCTGGAACAGTGAGAGGCAGGCAAGCTGCTGGCCCTTTCTTGTCCCCTCTCTTCCTCTACCACAGCTATGGGGCTTCATAAATATTTTCAGGCCCTTGGCGGGGGGGGCCCAGGGGCTGACCCCTCCCTGTGTCCCCTTTGGGGCTGAGTTGCTGGGGCCAGGGCCTGCTCAAGGCTTCCATGCCCATGTGTGCAAGGCTCAGGGCGGAGAGCATGGCCACCCGGTCCCACCCACCCGTCCCAGTCGGCCAGAAGGGACAGGAGTGCCAGGGCTTTGTGAGGACCCTTGAGGTGGAAGCAGCCTCCTCCCCAGGCTTCTCCGAGCCCCTCCCTGGACTCCCAGGGCTGTGAGGACCCCCACCCCAGCCCGTGACCCACTCTATCCCAGTCCGGCTGGGGCAGGAGGGCTGCAGATGCTCCAGGCCCCTTCCCCTCCACAGGGCGGAACAGGAAGAGGGTAATTGAATCAGCACTTCTAGACCCATCTGGAACATTCCAACATGGAAAACCCACGAAGCAGCTAGGGAAGCAATTTAGGGACTTTAATTAAAGGCTGGTGACTCTCCCAGGGAGCCCCTCCCCGCATGGAGTCCATAGGTCCCCCCACATCTGCCCTCCGTGTGTTCAGAGGCACAGCTGGGCACCTCACCCTCATGGGGTGCTGGCGGTTAGGTGGAGCTCCACTTGCAGGGTGTAGAACATGCCAGCCCACCCTCTCCCCTTGCTGCTTCCAGGGCCTGCCCCCCAGGCCCTGGGCTCAGGCCCCAAAGCCAGGCAAACCAGTGCCCTACCCCTCACAGCTCTGTGTCGGGAAGGGAATAGCGGGGTGATTTGGTGGGCTCAGAAAAGGAACTCTAAACAGAGGGAGGAAAGTAGCACAGCCTCAGTGAAAGCACAGCTGCCCCTCAAAGGCTGCCTCCATCTCCGTGGGCACCTTCTGCAGGGAAAGGCATTCCAGGCAGAGGGAACAGTGCATGCAAAGCCCATGAGTTCGGACAGAGCACAGTGGCAGAAGGAGCTAGCAGGTGCCAGTGTGGCAGGCATTTTGGAATCAGGGGCACACATAGGGCTGAGGGGCCGGCAAGGCTTACAGGGCCGTAACAGCTGTGGTCAGGAGTCTGGTTTTCATCTTAAAACCAATAAGGGGTAAAGGCGGGGATCAAAGCATTGTAAAATACTAGGATCTGGTTTACTCTGTGACTTCCTCAGGCTGCCATCCAGAGAGCTCACTGTAGAACAAAAGAGATGCTGGGACAATGGAGAGCAGCCCGTGAAACTGCCCCGGCGCGAGAAGGGTGTGTCTGGGAAGAAGAAATCCACATGCACTCAGTGGGAACTGGGTCACCAGGAGCCAGGGGCTGTCCTGTCTCCCTCCCAGCCCTACCACCCAGGGCAGGCAGCCGGGCTGTCTTCACAGGGGGCACCTGTGCAGGGGGTGGGGACAGAGCAGCCAAGCCCAGTGATCCCCTCCGGGCAGGGATCCCAGGTGGAGTCTCTTCCCTCCTCCCGTGGCTGCTGTCAGTCAGGGGGGCTCTTTCCCCTCCACCCACATCAGAACTTCCAGGCCTATGACTTGTCCACATCTGGGGCCACATCTGCCCACCATGTTGCCACTGCAGTCTCTGGGTGGGTGCTTGGAGTGGAGCCCGGAATCTGCCTCTGTTGTGGCCTGGGACGGAGGGGCCTGGAGGAAGCGCCTGCCCCTTAGGGCAGCTGCAGACAGATGGGAGAGGCCACTGGGCCCAGAAACTAACAGGAACGGAGGTGGGTGTCCAGACGCAGCCTCTGCCTCCCCTCCTCACCCAGCCGTCGTGTGGCAGAGACAGTAGCTGTGGTCATGGATGGAGCCACTGGCTCAAAGCCAGAGGGCAGGGAGGCTGACAGGCGGCCCTCCTACAAATCCTTCCTCACTGCCTGTATCTCTGGGCCTCCAAGAGAGGCAGAAAGACCACATCAGGGCTGTGGGACTCAAGGCTCAGCCAGGCTGTGGAGACCACAGCCAGGCCCCGAGACAGGCCTGGAGCTGAGCCCAAGCAGCCCCAGGGTCATCATCAGGACAGCTAGCTGGTGGGCACCTGGAAGACCGCACGTGGCCAGGAACAGGTGAGAGTCATGATTGAGGAGACCCTCCCGTGCCTGGGACATGGGGTGGACGAGGCACCCCAGCCTTCCTGAGTCTGGCCTCATTTATGAGCAGGCAGCTGAGCTGCAGATGGCCACTGGTTCCAGCCCTGTCCCCAGCGGAGGGCGTAGAACACAGAACTAGGGCAGCAGGAGCCTGGGGGAGTGGGTGGGGCCAGGGAGTGGGTGGGGCTCTACAAGGAGGTCTAGGAGGTAATTAATCATCGCTCAATACTCGCTGCTTTCACAAACACTCTCGCAGTTCCACAGAAAGCTTCAGAAGGAAGAGTCTACTGCGCACCTGGATGCGGGATGAACCAAGGTGGTAGGTGCAGACCCGACTTTAATCCTGCCCCACCAGTCCACAGAGCAGCCTGCGGCCTCAGTTTCCTCATCCTGAACATGAGGACGGCCTTGCCCAGCCTCCCAGGTCTGAGAAGTGTGTGGCCCCGAATGTCACTACAGCTAAGCTGCATGTCACTGGGCAGGCCCTAAGCCTCTCCAAGCTCACATGCTAGACCTGACAAGGCACACCGCCCACCTCTGAGGGTGTACAAAGAATGAGTTTTGGGCTGCGTGCGGTGGCTCACACCTGTAATCCCAGCACTGGGAGGCCGAGGCAGGCGGATCATTTGAGGTCAGGTGTTCGAGACCAGCCTGTCAACATGGCAAAACCACATCTCTACAAAAAATACAAAAATTAGCCAGGCATGGTGGCAGACGCCTGTAGCCCCAGCTACCTATGAGGCTGAGGCAAAAGATTCACTGGAACCCGGGAAGTGGAAGCTGCAGTGAGCTGAGATCACAACACTGCACTCCAGCCTGGACCACAGAGGTTTTCTCCGTCTCAACAACAACAAAAAAGTTTTGGGTGACAAGAGGCACACAGTCAGTGCCCAGTGGAGTTCACTGGTATGGTTATCACATCCCGCGGGGTGGCCCCTCCACCCTCCAACCTCGGGATCTTGGGGAAAAATGTGGTTCCAAGCTTTTTTTTTTATTTATTATTATTATTTTTTTTCGAGTCAGGGTCTCACTCTGTCACCCAGGCTGCAGTGCAATGGCATGATCTCAGCTCACTGCAACCTCTGCCTCCCAGGTTCAAGTGATTCTCCTGCCTTAGCCTCCCGAGTAGCTAGGACTACAGGTGCCAGCCACCACACCTGGTTAATTTTTGTATTTTTAGTAGAGACTAGGTTTCACTATGTTGGCCAGGCTGGTCTCGAACTCCTGACCTTGTGATCCGCCCTCCTCAGCCTCCCAAAGTGCTGGGATTACAGACAGGGGCCACCGCACCGGGTCCCAAGCTTTATTTCTTAACTATTCCTCTCCGGGCAGCATGTGCACACAGCCTGCTCTGGCCGGGTGAACGGGTGTCAGTCAAGGTGCTGGGCATCCCCAGGGCACCACTCAGCCCCAGCCAAAGTCCTGGCCTGTCATCTGGTAGAACTTGCGGTTGAAGGGCCGGTAGAAGTCCTGCAGGCGCCGGACCACGGCCTGGGACACGCGCGGGTGGGGCCGGCCCTTGGACTTGCCCAGGCAGCGGGGCCGGCGGCTGCCCTGGGCCTTCTGGAGGCAGGGGAAGCCCTTGGTGACGTTGAAGTAGAAGTGCTTGTCCGTGACGACCCGTTTAAGGCCCAGGAAGTCCTGCACGCGGCCGACCTCTCCGGCCGGGTCACTGACCAGGCGCTCCCCGCTGACGAACAGGAAATGGGACAGGGGGAAGTAGCGCAGCCAGTTGTCCAGGTGCTGGGCATACAGGCCGATGCGGACGGCGCTCCAGGCCGTGTCCACGGGGCCCAGGCCGTGGCGGAAGGCCAGGGCGCGGAAGCTGGGCAGGCCCGGGGTCTTGGAGAGCGTCTGGGCATAGTCGGAGATGGCCCGGGTCACGGGGTTCCGCACCACCACAATCAGCTTCGTGTCCGGGGACATGGCGTGGATCCGGCGGGGTGCCTCTCGCGTCACGAAGTAGCTGGGGGTCTTCTCCATGGTGATCTGCCCGTCCAAGGTTCGGGGCATCAGACTCCTGTGGGATGGGTGTGAGCAGAGGGTGCCTCAGCCTCCCTGGCCCTAGACCGGCCCCCAGGAGACGCCCAGGCCTCCAAGGTAGGCAAGGCTTCCTCCCCGCCCGGCCCACCCCTCCTGACGTGCGTGGCTGGGCAGCCTGGAACTTGTACTGTGAGGGTGCCCAGCCCAGCGCCGCCTGCCCTGCCTCCTGCTGCTCTGAGGATGAGGGTGATGGTCGCCCCAACACGCCCCTCACCACCCGTGTATCTTCCCTACACAGTCTCTGCCATCCTCCCCTCCAGTGCCCGCTCCCTCCCACTGGACCCACACTCTCCCGGAACCAGGCTGCCCCGAACTCCTTTCTCACTCCAGACCAAGGACCCTGAGGCCAGCCCACCTAGACTTCCCACTCCGCAGGCCTCTAAGCCGTCATCCCTCCAGGTTCCCCTTTCACTCAGTGGCTGAGAGCATCCCCTAAATCACCAATTATTGGCAATGTCCTCAACATAAAGTAGCCCTCCCCGCCCCACCCTGATGTAAGTACATCTCTCCCCGCCATCTTAATTTATTTATTTTTTGAGACAGTCTTGCTCTGTCACCCAGGCTGGAGTGCAGTGGCGTGATCTCAGCCCACTGCAACCTCTGCCTCCCAGGTTCAAGTGATTCTCCTGCCTCAGCCTCCCAGGTAGCTGGAATTACAGGCACTCACCCCCACACCCAGCTAATTTTTGTGTTTTCAGTAGAGACGGGGTTTCGCCATATTGGCCAGGCTGGTCTTGAGCTCCTGACCTCAAGCGATCCACCCACCTCAGCCTCCCAAAGTGCTGGGATTACAGGGCTGAGCCACCCCGCCCAGCCTCTCTCCCCATCTGTTTTTTGTTGGGTTTTTTTTTTTTTTTTTTTTGAGTTGGAGTTTCACTCTGTTGCCCAGGCTGGAGTGCAATGGCATGATCTCGGCTCACAGAAACCTCCACCTCCCAGGTTCAGGCAATTCTCCTGCCTCCACGTCCCCATTAGCTGGGATTACAGGCACGCACCACCACACCTGTCTAATTTTGTATTTTGAGTAGAGACAGGGTTTCTCCATGTTGGCCAGGCTGGTCTCAGACTCCTGACCTCAAGTGATCCACCCTCCTCAGCCTCCCAAAGTACTGGGATTACAGACGTAAGCCACCTCGCCCGGCCTCTCCCAATCTTTAATTGTAGGTCTGCAAATTCTCATCAACCTGGACCTGGACTCGGGAGGCCAAAAAGCTACCAGCAGAGCCCAGCACATGTGAGGAAAGTCGGAAAAGTGGCCGTGCCGGTCTGAGGATCCTTCCCAAGACCCTGGGCCGCTGTGGCCCCCCAGGTCTTGCCAGTTGCCTTGGTGCCAGTCTGGGGAGGGGGCCTTTCTGAGCTCCTCATCATTCTGACACAGGGGAGGAGGGCACTGGCCCACTCCCAAGGTCCCGGGGGAATCAGCCGACCTTACCCCAGGACTGGCCTACCTGGGCAGAGAGCCCATCCCGGTGCCCAGCCCAGGCAGGCCCAGGCACCCCCAGCAGTGTCCAGGGCAGCACCTGCCAGCCAGGTAGTGCGGGGTGAGGTTGGGCAGGGCAGGGCGTGGCAGGTCAGCTGAGCAAACAGCTCCAAGGGAGAGCTGGGGAAGGGTGGGAACTAGGTCAATAGAGGCAGAGGCTGTGGGACCTGTGTTAGGGAGGGGTGCCCTGCCCGGCCATGCCCAGCCCTGCCTTCTGCCCTCTGAGGGGGCTTCCCGCACCCCTGCTGACTGCCCCAGGAGTGCTCCCTGCTGGGAGGCTGACGTGCCAGGAGTGACCCCCAGACTCAGGACCTGAGTCCCCTTTTCCTGCTCAGACCCCCAGGAAAACTCAGCTGGGGTGCTCAGCAGAGAATGCTGGAGGTGGGACAGGATGTGTGTGGATGGCAGGAGAGAATCCAGGCTTTCTCACACCACCACCCATAAGCAGGGCAGAGTCGGGGTGGGTGGCACGGGAGCCCACTGGCCCCTCAGAGCCAGGCCCTGGGCAGAGCTGACCTACAGACATCACCAGACAAGTCCTCCTCCATCTTGGTGGCAGAGGGAGCAGGGACTACCTCTAGCCGCCTGCTGCCACTTTGGAGGCAGCCACACTGAGACTGGAGGGGGAGGGGTGCCAGGGGTGAGCGTGGGGCTCAGCCCTCCCTCTTCCCACCCTTGGGGGCTGCCTCCTTCCAGCCCACCTGGAAGGGTGGGGTGGGTCCCCGAACCCCTGCACTCCCCATCCCACCTCCTGCAGCTGGAATCCACGTGGGAACTGCACCCAGCATCCCAGGAACAAACACAGAGACTTTGGGTGGTCTGAGGCACAGCAGCTCAGGGCACTCCTGTCCCTGAGAGGAGGTCATGCGAAGGGGAGGCACCCTCCCACCACGGGACCCCAATGACAATACCCACAGAGAGAAGCCAGGGAGGGCAGACCCTGCCAGGCCTCATCAGAAGTCACTGCCTCCCTTTATACCCCTCTGCCAGGAAGGATGCCCCAGGCCCTTCCCTCCCATCATGGACACACCCTGACCCCAGGCGCTGGGGGAGACCAGGAGCCCGCCCCTTTCCTTTCCCAAAGGCCACACCAGTGAATGAATATCCTCCTCTTCACGCTGCTGGAGAGACCAGCACCGACGCAGGAATGTTCGCCCCCCCCAGGCTTTCTCTCCAAAGAGTCAAAGAACTCTGAATCGGGATGGAGTTCCCAGACCCCCTGCCGTAGAAGGGGGGTGGGAACACGGGGAGGTGGTAAGGGCTTTCGAGGCCCCCTCTTGCACAAACCAGCTCAGAGATTTGAGATCTTTGGGATCAATTACTTTCCCTCCCCAGGCATCAGAAGCCCGTCCTAGCCCGGGTGTGGATGAGGGTGGGAGAGATGGGGGAGGAGGGAAGGGAGAGGACTCAACCTCTGTGTGACAAACATCTGACAAGTTGCCCTGAGGACCCTCCCAACCCTCCCTCCCTGCGGAGCCCACCTCATCTGGTGTGCATTTCCCTGCAGCTTCCATCCAGCCCTGGGTGACCCTCCCTCCTCTGTCTCAGCCTCCCTCCTCCTGCCCCACACCTCGGGCCTGGGACTCAGCAGATGACAAAGCCAGAAAGTGCTGTGGGATTGCATCCCACCACAGGAGCCTCTCTCCGGGACTGATGGGAAGTGGAGTCCCACAGAAGCCCAGGTCCCTCCCTGCACGCACTGCTCTTGCGCCCCAGGAACTAAGGGGTTCCCCTACTCACCCCACTCCTTGCCTCTTCTT